CTGTCGGTGTTTCCAGGTGAGGAAGCTGATGGTGCTGGACCCGCGGCAGAGGCTGACGGTGCAGCAGGCGCTGCAGCACCCCTGGGTCACCGGGAAAGCCGCGAAACTGGAACACATGGACAGCACACAGCGCAAACTGCAGGAGTTCAACGCCAGGAGGAAACTCAAGGTCAGGGACACCTGGGGACACACCTGGGGACACACCTGGGGACACACCTGGGGACACATCTGTCACACTTGGGGATACACCTGGGGAAATATCTGGGGACACATCTGTCACACCTGGGGACACCTGACACACCTGGGGACACACGTGTCTCACCCTTAGGGACACACTTGTCGCACCTGGGGACACACCTGTCACACCTGTCACACTTAGGGACACACCTGTCACACGTTGGGCACAGCACCCCTGGCATCCTGAGGGAGAGTTTGGAGCTGTGCCAGGGGCTTTGGGATGGATTTTAGGATGGATTTTAGGACGGATTTTGGGATGGATCTGGGATGGATTTTGGGATGGATTTTGGGGTGGATTTGGGATGGATTTTGGGATGGATTTGGGATGGATTTTGGGATGGATTTGGGGATTTTAGGGGAAGGTTCCTCCTCCAGAGGCTGCTGGGCACTGAATTCCCTCAGGGAACGGCCCCGGCCCCGAGGCTGCCCCAGCTCCAGGAAGGCTTGGGGTGTCCAGGATTTTGGTGGGTGATCCCCTCCAAACATTCCATAGTTCCATAATTCCATAATTCCATAATTCCATAATAATTCCTTAATTCTCTGCCTCTGTCCCAGGCTGCCATGAAAGCCGTGGTGGCCTCCAGCCGCTTGGGCAACCACGGCCACCACGACTGTTCCCGCAGTGGCCGCGGCCAGGGGGGACCCCGGGGTCTGGCCCAGCCCACGGGCACGGGTGGCACCGAGGCTGGCACGGAGCTCAGCATGTTCCAGAGTGACCACCCCACCATGGCCACAGTGGCCACGTGCCAGAGTGACCACCCAGCCACGTGTCAGAGTGACCACCCAGCCACGTGTCAGAGTGACCACCCTACAGTGGCCCCAGCGTTCCAGAGTGACCACCCCACCATAGCCACAGTGGCCATGTGTCAGAGTGACCACCCAGCCACGTGCCAGAGTGACCACCCAGCCGTGTTCCAGAATGACCACCCCTCCATGTCCCCGGTGTTCCAGAGTGACCACTCCACCGTGTCCCCCGTGGCCCCAGTGGCCGTGTTCCAAAGTGACCACCACAATGTGTCTCCAGTGGCCATGCTCCAAAATGACCACCCAGCCGTGTTCCAGAGTGACCACCACAATGTGTCCGCAGTGGCCATGCTCCAGAGTGACCACCCAGCCGTGTCCCCAGTGTTCCAGAGTGACCACTCCACCATGTCCCCGGTGGCCCCGGTGGCCCCGGTGGCCGTGCCAGGCTCTGGCTGTGACAGTTAACGGGCCCGGAGCCTTGGCCCCGAGAGCCCCCAGCCCTGGTCTGGGCTCGGGAACATCCTCGTGTCGTGTCCTGTCACCCCCGGTCACTGTCCCTGTCACCCGAGGGGTCGAGGTGGTGACTTTGCCTTCCCACCCCGCAGCACTTTGGGCTGCTGTGGCTTGGAATGACCCCGAAAAACGAGGAGCAAACAGCAGAGCTAAGGAAGATTTCTCATCCCAGCTTTTCCTGCAAAGCAGCGAGTTGTCTTGGAGGGGTTCCTGTAAATAATCCTGAAGGTTTTTCTTTTTTTTTGGATTTTGCTGCCAAAATGCAGCTGTGACATCTCCAGCGCTGTCACCGGCCCAGCTGTGGGGTTGCTGCTGGGTTAGGAGGGGTTTTAGGAGCCTTTGACCCCAAATGTTTGATCCTCTCCAGAGAACAGCCCGTGCCAGCGCTTCCCTTGTTGTTCCCAGGCAGCAGACGAGCCCTGGTTGTGATTTTTTTTGGGTGTGTTCCCCACCCTCAGCCTTGCTGTGCATCCCTGGTGGTGGCCACAGGGCTGGGAATGCTGGTCCAGCCTCCCCTTGGCGTTCCAGATCGGGGATTGACACAATTTTAACACAAGAATTTACAAAATTCTTCAATATTGTGAGATTTTTCCAGGTAGCTGCTGTTTCCTGAGGGAGGACAATGAGTTAATACCTTTTTAATTTTTATTTTTTAATGAAATCAGCAGACAAACTTCTTGAAAAGGAAATTTTTTTTTTTTTTAAGGAAGGAAACAGGATAAGTATTTTCAGATTTTAATACAGAGCAAGTGACTGGACAGGAAAAGCCATATTCCATGTGGGAATTATAGTGGGATCCTGCCAGGTTTGAGCCCTAAGGCAGCAACCATGACCTGCACACTCACATTTTGGGCTTGGAATGGTGTGTTCAGGGTAAAAATCCCACCTGGAGGAGAATAAATTAATACAGGAAGTTCTTTCCATCAGGACTGAGGAGCAGAATTGAGCAGTTGGGGCAGGAAGGGAAAAAAAACCAAACAAAATTGGATGTTTTGCTAAAGGTGAGGCAGCGGTGACAGACCTGAGGGTGACAGAGTGGGGTCAGGAGGTTGAGGTGAGAGCAGGAGGAGGAAAAAAGCATTTGGGATTTATCTCCAGAAATCAAAAGTGCTCTGAGTCAGGATCCACCCCAGAGCTGGGTGGGGTTTGGGGAGGCAAAGACAGCAGAGAATGGGGGGTTCAAGGGGGGGATTTAATCGGGAAAAAAATATCATGGCTTGAGCCGAGCTGCACTTTTTTAAACCCGAGTTTCTCTTTAGTGGGGAAGCAGCTGCCCAGTGAGGTGTCCCAGGGGGAAACAAAGCTGCTCATCCCGTGGGGCTCTGCAGCACAGGGAAATTCTTCTTTTTCCTTTGCTTTTTTTGCAGGAGGGGCAGTTTTGCCCTCTCCTTTTTCTAATCCTGAGGGCTGAGCCTTGCAGGGTGCTCAGCTCCAGAGTCCATCCCACCCTCCCAACTCCCTGTGGGGTCTCTGAACTCAACCTGGTTGTTTCCTAACCCAGGCTTAAAGATTATTTTGTATCCTTTGACACAAAATGTTGATTAAAGCCCCTGGCAGGACCGGGCTGGGCACTCCCAGAGCCTGCCAAGCAAAGAAAAAGGCTCAGTGACAGTTCAGGATTCCAAATCCTGCAGGAAAATGGGAATTATAGTTGCCAAATCAATTATACAAAATATCCCCTGCAGCGGGAGGAAGGATGGGGCTTGCGAGCAAAACCAGATCGGGAGTTTATATTTTATTATTATTATTATTATTCCACAGGTATCTGTATTTAAAGATAGGGAAAATACACTCCTGGGAGCGGAGGTGCGTGTGGGTCTGTTGCTGTTTGCAGAGTGTGTTTGAGTGACTGCTTCAGTGTGGTGGTGACACTTCTGACAGCCAGGTGTTTATAACCGAGTAGAGACAGTGAATAAAGCATCAAATCTCAGAGCCAGGGCTCCGTTTTCACTGTTTTCCTCGGAAATTTCCTCGGAATGTTGGGGCTGAAGATTGGCGTGGAATGGGTTGGGTTGGAAAGGAATTTAATGATCATTTCATCCCAGCTCGTGCCATCCTCAGGGACACCTTCCAGTGTGTCCCAAGGTGCTCTAACCTGGCCCTGGGCACTTGCAGGGACGGGGCAGCCACAGCTTCCCTGGGAATCCCATTCCAAGGATTTTGGATTAGATCCACCTTGGATTGACCCTGCGGGGCGTGGGTGGTGCCCCGCGGGTGCTCGGAGCCACCCGGCCCATGGAACCTGTCCCTTGTCCATGGCACGGGTGGCACCGGACAGGCTTTAACCTCCCCAAAAAACCAGCAAATGACGTCACCCTTTCCGCAATGACGTCACTCCCCCGTTGCCATGCCGCACACCCACCCGCCCTCCCAGACTGGGCGTGACTTCCGCATAAGTCTCCAATAGAAAACGAGATAGGCGTGACCAAGGCGGGAGCGTGCGCTCTGATTGGCTGAGCCTCTTGTTGTGGCCGCGGCGGGGAGGGCGGGGCGCCAGGAGGCGCTCGCTGATTGGTCCGAGGAGCGCTGCCGGGCGGCTCGCGCGGCGCATGCGCAGAACCTGGTGTGGAGGGCGGCGGCGGCGGCGCGCGCGGGGGGCGGTGTTGTCGGGAGCGCGCACGGTAACGGTGGCCCCCCCCCCCTCCCCCCCCAAATTGGGGTCTAGGGGGGGATACGAGGGTCTGGGGCCATCACCGGTACCGGGGTTGTGTTTGGGAGTCCCGCCCGTCCTCTGACCGGGCGAAGCGAGGGGCCCGTCCCTCCCCTCACCAGGGAAGGTTTGGGGGGGCATCCCCTGTGAGGGGAGGGTTTTGAGGGGTCCCGTCCCTCCCCTCACCGGGGCGCTTGGAAGGTTCCATTCCTCACGGAGGGGGGATTGAGGGGTCCCGTCCTGCATGGAGGGGGCTCTGTAGGGGGGTCCCGTCCCGTCCCTTGGAAGGTTCCATCCCTCATGGGTTCGGGTTTGGGGGTCCCGTCCCTCCCCTCACGGGTTCGGGTTTGGAGGCCCTGTCCCGTCCCTCGCCGTGTTCGGGATTGTGGGGTCGCTCCCCTCACGGATTTTGGGGGTTTCTCCCCTCACGCAGTGCAGGATTGTGGGGTCGCTCCCCTCACGGATTTTGGGGGTTTCTCCCCTCTCAGATTTTGGGAGTCGCTCCCCTCACTGAGGGCGGGATTGCCGGGGTTTCTCCCTTCACTCAGTGCGGGATCTTGGGGGTCTCTCCCCTCACGGATTGTGAGATTTTTGGGGGTCGCTCCCCTCACCGAGGGCGGTTCGGGGGAGGGTCAGGTTCCCGTCCCTCCCCTCACGTGGGGTTTTTTTGGGGGCCGGGCGGTTCCCGCTGTCCCCGCGCCGCCTCACGGGGGTCCCGCAGCGGCGCCGCCGTTCCGGGCGCCACTAACGGCCCCTGTCCCTCCCTCCATCCCTTCCCTTCCTCCTTCCTCCGCCGCAGGGCCGCGATCCCGGAGCCCCGGCCAGCCCAGTACCTGCACCTTGTAAGTACAGGAAGATCTTCCCTTTACTACGGCTTTATTTTCTTTTTTTTTTTTTCTTTTTTTTTTTACAGCCCTTGAGGAGCCCGTGAGGCCGCTCCGATCAGGTTTCTGTTGCAAATCGTGTGTAAAAATTGGGATCAAATTACGTGTAAGGAGTATATCCAGTTATTTTTAGGGTGTAGTTCCCTATTTTCAGGGTTTGGTCGCAGGAAGCTGTGGACTGGGCAGGTCCATGGCTGCATTGTGTAATTCTTGATAGTGTTTTCCTCACCCAACACACGCAGTGAGAGACATTTGTGCTCCTAGAATTATGGATTTCATTTATCCTGAGATTGTTTGGTTTGGAAGGACCTAAAAGCCCATCCAGTCCCATGCCTTCCACTATCCCAGTTTGCTCCAAACCTCATCCAATATGGCCTTGGATAATCGCAGGGATGGGGCAGCCACAGCTCCTACAGAAAAATGGAATTTCAGCTATCATTTTGGAGAATGCTGCAGAGTAATATCAGTGCAGTGATCCCGAAGATAAAACAGTAATAACTGTAATAGTATGTTTGATTAGATCCTGTATTTCCTTCACAAAACAAAGACCACAATGGACACAGGTGGGTGACTCCTTTATTCCCTTTTTTCTCCCTCAGAGCACCTTGGAATTTCCCTTCTCCACGTGAAGCTCAGCCATGACCGACCAAGAGCTCGTTCTCTGCAAGTGGAAGAGGCGTTTGTGGCCAGCCAAGGTAAGGAGGAATGAGGAAATGTTTGTGGAGGTTGCTTGGAAAGGGCTGGAACAGAGCAATAAGGAAGGGAGAGGTCCCAGAAACGTGTCTGAGCTTGTCTGAGCTGTGGAGATGCCAGCAGGAAAAATGGAGAGAGCCTGGAATAATGGGATGTGGGGGGGTTGAGAAGGCAGGGTTGAGTGGGATATTGGGAAAAAAATTCCTCACTGTGAGAGTGGGGAGACCCTGGAATGGATTTCCAGAGCAGCTGTGGCTGCCCCATCCCTGGCAGTGCCCAAGGCAAGGTTGGATGGGGCTTGGAGCTGCCTGGGACAGTGGGAGGTGTCCCTGCCGTGGCATGGTGGGACTGGATGGGATTTAAAGTCTCTTCCCACCCAATCCGTCCTGGAATTTTATCATTCCACGATCCTAAGGCTCTGTCAAGCTGCTCTTACATCAACGTTTTGCTGTTGTTGGTCAGGATTTTTAAATGAAGATTTTTTTTTTCATTTTTAACACAGGTTTTGTGCAAACCTGGAGCTGCTGGGAGCAGTCCTGTTGCTGCCACAAAAAGGATGGGATTTAAAGCTGAAATCCTTGGCTTGGAGAAGCAGTTGAGTATCCTTGTTCCTGTCACGTGTTTGCATTCTTAGACGTCAAAAAATAAGGAGAAGAAATGAATCCTTTGACTTGAAGGTGTCTGTGAGATGGGATCCTGGATTTGCAGAAGATTGAGGTGTTTAA